TGACTTTTGCTTTCTAAACCAGCTCTTACCAGAGTCCTAAACTGTAGAGGACCGATTCAAAAAGGAGCTGCGGTCTCAGACTCCACCGGCTTGGACTGCTTTGTCCCTGCCACACGAAAGAGCGGCAGCACCGTGACCCAGTCCACTCAGCCACACCGGGGCATGTAGCAGAGGTCCTGACGCTTAACTGCCTTGGGGATTTGCTCTTCACCAGCCCCTGGGACAGTGAAGCCACAGCAGGGGCAGAGAGTTGGCAGGGCTGCTGGCCGCCTTGGGACCTTGGGGAGGAAGATGGATGATCATGCTGGAGTCCAGCCACCCCCAGGCTCTTTGGGCCCAGCCCTTTTAGGAGCTTTTGGGAGTGGTGTTGGGAGATGGGGAGACTTCATTTAGGAAGTAGCGCTAAAGCAGGGGCTCTGTCAGCTGGTGTTAAAAAGTGACCTCTCCCAGGGTGGCATGGCAGGAACCAGGGGCCTCCTGCCAGTGACCACTGAGGGAGCCCCAGCCTTCCTTTAACTGACAGGGGTCCTGGCAGATGCCCTGTCCACAGCCCTGTGAACCATTCGGCTGTGCTAATTCCTGACCCTTGGATGGGGGTGAGATGAAGCTGGCTACTAAGTGTAGTGGTGATATGTCACACAGCCATAGTAAACTAACAAAATCACCATGCCTAATCCCCACGCCAACCACTGCAGGAACTCTATTTTATTTATTTAAATCTACCTTTTGTTTTTTGGAGACAAGGTCTCGCTCTGTAGTTCAGGCTGGCCTTGAACTCACTATGTAACCCAGGCTGGCCTTGAACTCGTGGTGATCCTACTGCCTCAGCCTTCTGAGTCTGGGATGACAGGTGTGCACCACCATGCCCGGCTCAGGAACCCTATTTTATAAAGAAATGAATTTGAGGGCTGGGGATTTAGCTCAGTGGTTCCACCGCCTGCCTCACAAGTGCAAGGTCCCAAGTTCGATCCCCGGTACCAAAAAAAAAAAAAAAAGAAAAGAAATGAATTGGAGGAGGTTATATACTTGGTCTAGTCTATGGTAGGCAGCATAATGGTTCCTCAAAGATGCGTACATCCCTGGAATCTCTGAATATGTTAGGCTCCCCGGGGAAGGGTGAGGTCTTAGAAGGAATTACACTTGCTACCCTTGATTTTGAAACAGAAGCTTGGGTTAGCCAGGTGGGCTCAGTATAATCCCAAGAGTACTTAAAGGGAGGTGACCCGGAAGGATGCTGGTGTTGGCTTTGAACTGGGAGGAAAGGGGCCTGGGCTGAGCAGTGGGAATGACCGTTAGAAGCAGGAAAATGGGACAAATGGAGTCTCTGCTTCAGCTTCAGGAAAGGACCTCAGCCCCGCTGACCACCTTTCTTTTAGCTAAGTGAAAGCTGAATTTAACCTACAGATAGATACAGTAACACATTTGCATTGTCTTAAGCCACTGAGGTCAAAGTAATTTGCAGCAATAAGAAACGAATAAAAGTCATACAGCTAGAAAGCGGTAGAGCAAGGCTTCAGCCCAGTCTGACCTAAAGCCCCCACCTCTTCCATCTTCCTCCCACCGCCCTGGCGTCTAGAGCCAGAGACTCTTCCGTTTTCTGATTTATTGGTCATTTGCTCAGCGGTCCCTGTGACGCACCAGCCATTGTCGCCTGTCCTATGAGGGTTCAGCGATGACCCGGAGGAAGCGTCTCGTTCTGGTGGAGGCTGCCCTCTAGTGGGCAGGACAGGCGCAGCCTCACAATATCCCTGCCACCATCACCGTAAGGGTTGCATCCAGGCCACGTCCAAGGCCGGGGGTCGGACCCCACACTCTAATCCCCAATCCATGAGCGGGATCCATGGTGTCACTTGTGCCAACTTGTGTTGCAGAACTGAGACTGGTACCTCCCTGGGTGCCACAAACAGCCGGAACATGGACATCCCTGGTGGTAAAACTAGGAGAGGAAACACTGGGTCTGGGAAAAATAGGAAGCCAGAGAGTTGTACCTACCTCCAGGTGTCTAAACGTCTCACACGAGGAAGGCGTGAGAACCAGAACATAACAGACATCACAGACGGGGTGCCACGAAAGGCTGTGCGGGGGAATGGGGTTAAATGGAACTCAGGCTGCAAAACAGCCCACCTTAGGAGCCCTGCCCCTTTCTTGGGTAAAAAATGTACATACAGGGATATGGAAAAAAAGGCTGTGTCCGTGTTCGCTAAGGTGTAACTAGGTAAAGGGTACAGAGTTGTCAGATTTGCAAGTAAAAATACAGGACAGCCAGTAAAATTGGGATTTTATTATTTTTTCTTTGAGACAGGGTCTTGCTGTGTAGTCCAGGCTGGCCTCAAACTCATGGCAGTCTTCCTGCCTCAGCCTCCCAAGTACTGGGATTACAGGTGTGCAGCCTTAAATTTGGATTTTACATCACCTGCATTTTTTTTTTAATCTCTGATTTTTTTTTGCCATTTTTTTAGAAGAAGCACACCATGCATTATTTGTTGTAGATCTGAGATCCAAATTTAATTGCTTCTCAGCCTTATTGGCTAAGATCAAAGTGTGAAATCCAAATTGAACTAGCTGTCCTGTATTTTTATTCGGCGACTTGATATGAGTTCTCTTTTTACCTTTAAAAAATAATAAATTTACCTTACTTCTTTTGAATTAAAAAAAATTTAAGCTGATACATAAAGACATAAAAATCGTACGAATTGATGAGGTGCTATGTAGTTCATCACTTCTGAGATAGAAAAGGGAAACTGCAGCAAGTGATCCCAACAAGGGAAATATTGTAACTCCCAACCTGCTAGATATCTGGAACACGAGTTCGTGTTCTCTAAAATCAAAGAATGAATTCTAGGAACAACGGAGGCTAAGAGTAAGAATAAATTATTGAAAGAAAGAAAGCTTCTAAGAGAGACAGAAGTGGGACCAGAAAGTGAGTTGCCCGCCCACCCCGATTCTCAAAGGCGTTTCACTGAGCAAAGCCACAAGGTGAGGTCCAAGGAGGGACAAAACTAAAGGTGACTAATAAGACCCAATGGGAGGGGGCCGGGAATTTAGCTCAGTGGTTCCCAGTCTGCCTCGCAAGCACAAGGTCCCGAGTTCGATCTCCGGTACCAAGAAAGAAAGGAAGAAAGAAAAGAAAGAGAAAAATCCAATGGGAAGTCACATGGTGGACATAAGGTGGGACAAAACTATGATCAACCAATAAGATTACAAGTACAGTCAGCCAGGTAATATTGATAAAATGGGAAAGCTAGTCACGTAGCAAGTGTACAAGGAATTTCTGGAAAAAGAATGGGCTAGGGAGATTGATGCGAATATCAATCACTGCTATTTTTCCCCAGGGGAAGTACTTCTCTTTTAATAATCTAACCAGTAGTGAATGTGTCTCAAATTTTTTTTTTTTTTTTTTTTTTTTGGTACCAGGGATCGAACTTGGGTCCTTGCGCTTGCAAGGCAAGCGACGGAACCACTGAGCTAAATCCCTGGCCCAATGTGTCTCAACTTTTTATGCTGAGGGCCCAGCTTTGTCTAACCGCCTTACAATAATTTCTGACTAACTTAGCTATCTGCAATAAAACGAACTGAAATCGTTCCTTGTGTAGGAGGAAACGGTAAGAGGTGTGCTGGGTGGATTTCTGGATGCCGCCGAGCCAAGGCAGATAACTAGAAAATAATCTTTCCTTCCCTGGCCTCCTGAGGCGATTCCCGGCGCTGGCAGAGCCATATCCACCACCAGAGGCCGCTGCGGGAGCCCAGATCTGCAGACTGGCAAAGACGAACTTCACCTCTGATTGGGGTGGGCGGGGGCGGTCCCCAGGGGCAGGGCCGTTGCAGAGAGCTGGGTGTCACCTTGGAACTCTCTCCCAAACGCTCCTGCTCCCGTTCCCGCTGTAAAACTCGGAACAGCGGTCACTGATGGGAGTTCCTGGCTAAACTCAGGGGCGGATGCAGGACAAATACAGCTTCCGGCCTGTGAGATGGCAAATGTGCCGAGATTGTGGTCGCGAACCGAACGAAGACATTAGGAGAGTTTTATTGGAAATAAGGGGAAGAAGAATAGTTCCTGAATCTCCAAGTGGAGTCCCAAGTGGGTGCCCACGGAGGTCCTCGGTCAGGTAATTTATACAGCAGAGTCACAACATGGGTACAATGTGGGCCAGATTACCATCAACCTGTAGAATTACAAGGATCGCTTAGCTACTATTGACCCAATAGGTTCCAGTGGACCAGGCGGTGCTGATCACAATGCCATCTCAAGCTGCTGTTGATCTCCAGGAGGCTCTAGGCCTGGCCACTGGGTCTCCGTCTTGCGGCCCCAGCCACAGGCTTGACATCTTTATTTTTGGTGCCCCTGGCCCCCTCGACTGTGTATTAATTTCTATCTAACCTAGCTATCGGAGGATCAGCCAGCCCCGACCTCTGCCTGTGTGACCCGTGGCATCCTCCACTCTGACTCTGCTCTCTTTTGCCATGGCTCAGGGGACCCAGGCCCTGTCCTGGGACACAATTCTGGGCATACTCCAGCAGAGTGGAGGGAGAATGACTCCCACTCTCAGGAGCCCCAGGCAGCGAGAAATGAAGGGCATGCACTTGGGGAGAACACCAGCCACTGAGAATCGCCTCAGGGACTGAGCTTGTGTTTGTGTCTACACTGTGTGTGCTGAACAGCAAGCCAGTGTTTCTCATTCAATTAACAAACACTCTGAGGTCCTCCCTGTGCCAGGCCCTGGGCTGGGCTCTGGGCTCTGGCGCTCATATTGTCCTGCACACCCTCAGCTGAGGCTGGCTGTCCTGGCTGGGAAGGGAGGAGCAAAGATGGGACAGACAGAGCCCCTTGCCTCTGAGCATACCCTTCGACCCCCCACCACATGTAGGAGGGGCTGCTTAGGGAAACTGAGGCATCAGGAGCCCTTGAAATGATGGGACCCAGCTCAGAGTGCTCCGAAGCCAGCGGATTCTGTAGGCCTTTTACCATCTTGTCACAACTTTTGAAACTCCTGCTCCCTGACGGAATTCAGGACTTTACAGAACTAGTCCAAGCTGGTGGCCAAATGGGCAGGACTTTCCACACATGCCCGAGGCCTGATGCAGGGTGGGCAGCCAGTGAATGCTTGTCAAGGGATTCGAAGAAGCAAGATCAATGCCCAAGGTCATAAATCTGACAGGGCTTAAAACATTTGGGGCCTGGGATGGCGGCCAAAGCAGGGGTTTTGAGAACAGGCCCAGCCGAGGGGTCATCTGTGTAGTGGGGCAGGAGGTGGTGGTCATCAGCATTTCCCAGAATGCTTTCTGTTTTTCATCTGCACCGCGGGGCAGAGGTGGGCACCCAGCCACATTTCCCAGAATGCTTTCTGGTTTTTTTGGCTGTGAGAGCCCACAGTGGGGCTTGGGTTTCTCAGCGAAGTTGCAGAATGAGTGGCCCTCACCATGAGCCACTAGTGTCCAGTCAGAAGGAAAGCAAGCCTAACCACTGCCGCCCCCTCCACGGTCTGAGAAAGTTGTGTTCTGCAGGGGCTCCAGGGTGGCCCCCCTAAGGCTCTGTCCCCAATATAATTCATGAGGTCTGGAATGTGACTTTATTTGGAAAAAGGGTCTGTCCAGATATAATTAAGCACCTTGAGATGAAATGATTCATGGGCTTGTTGTCTGGACCAGCCCCAAACCCAAGGACCAATGTCCTCCTAAGAGACAGCCGAGAGATGCACAAAGAGGAGGAGGTGGCAGTGAGAAGGGGGAGACAGAGATTAGAAAGTGGCCATCATCTGGAGCCACCAGCCGGGAGAGGGAGAGACAAGGGACAGGCTCCCCAGAGCCTTGGTGGAGTGTGGCCGTGCTGACTCCTGGATTCAGGTTTCTCCCCTTCAGAGGTGTGAGTTCCTGTTGTTTCCAGCCCCAGGTTTGTGGTCCTCTGTCACAGGAGCCCCAGGAAATGAAGCCACCAACTAACCCACATTTTCTAATTCCTGAGGCTGTCCACTTCTGGGCCCCTTGTCCACACACACCGATTTGCCCTTGTGTCCTGTGTCTCCCTGCAAGGGAGACTCCATTCCGGTGATGCACCGCACACACTGTACTCCCACCAAGAATTTCTAATTATTTTGCAGTTGGTGGACGATGGAGTTAGAGGAAGGGTTCCTTCCATCCCTCAGTATAAGCATGGGAGTTTCGCTTGACCAGATTCGGAATAATACAGTGATCTGTACCCTTTACAGAGCTCAGCAGACACCTGTGGGCCGGCAAATCCCGAAGGAAGAAGTGTGCAGATGAGCGCGTGTGATCGCGTGTGCATGTGTCCCCAAACTGCTCCCTCCCTTGCTCCCCCTCCACACACACCTTGCTTTTGGGACACAATGGAAGAGGACCCTCCCTGCTAGCAAGCCAGAGGACCCTTGTCCCCTCAGTGTGCAGGATGCTGCCCAGAATTTGCCCTTGAGAACAGCGGAGAGTGAAGTAAAAGGAAGCTGCCCAGGGCTGGAGGTGTGCTCATTCTCCTTGTTTTCCTGGGAGTGGTGGCAGTTTCTGAAGGAGAGGCAAGGTGGGCCCCTGCCCCACTTAGCTTCCATGGCCACCAGTCCACAGGTAACTTGTACACCCACAGCACGGCCCCTCCTCCACGTGTCCAGGGGCCTGCACCCCCACCTCCATTGCAGGGTTCTTTCAGACATTCCAATGGAGGCCACTGCCACCTACCCAGTTTTTTTTGTTTTTTGTTTTATATCAGGGATCAAACTCAGGACCTTGTGCTTGTGAGGCAGGTGAGGGTGCCACTGGGCCAAATTCCCAGCCCCACCTACCCAGTTTTTAAAGCCAGACCCCTGGGTGTCCCTTAACATTTTCCTTCTCACCATCCCCCAAATCCACCCATCCCCAAACCCAGTTGACTGTGTTCCTGCTTATGTTGGTCCATTTTCTGCTGCTATAGCAAAATACCTGAGCCTGGATACTTACTAAAGAAAAGAAAGTAACTGAGCTCACAGTTCTGCAGATCCAAGAGTATGGCTCCAGTGTCTCATGGCTCCAGTGAGGGTCTTCTGGCCATATCCAACATAGCAGATGATGTCATGGTGGACTCCTGGGAGGAGAGAGAGATCACATGGTGAGACAGAAAGCCAGAGAGATTCAGGGGCCAGGCTTGCTCTTTGATAACAACTTACTCTTGCAGGAACAAACCAGGCTCCCTCCAGCACGACATCAGTCCCTTCTCAGGGTGGCACCTCCGTGATCCCACCGCCTTCCACCAGTCCATGCCTCTTAGAGGTTCCACAACCTCCTCCCACCATGCGAGGCCCAAGCTTCCAGCACACGAGTCTGGGGGGACACACTCCAACCACATCCAAGCCACAGCACTGCCTGTCACGCAAGTGTCACCAGCTTGATGGCGCCTTGTTCCTCCCCTTCGAGCTACTTGTCACAGTTGCGATTTGCCTGTGAGCTCTGTGAGGGCAGAGAGCACAGCTGCTTGTTCATTTTAGTCTTCCTAGTGCCTAAAACAGTGTCATGTGCACTGTTGGTGCTTAAGAAATACTTGTCAAATCCTGGGATAAATGAGTGAATGAATGAACCCGTGTGGTTCTGAGCCAGCGTGGCACAGAGGAGGATGGAGGCCAGGTGTCCTGGATGAGGAGGGAGGAACCCTGGCTTGGTACTGGACTCTCCCCACTCGGCATGGAGCACCGGCCGGGACCAGCCTGAGGCTTGGAGCAGGGTGGTGGTGGCAGTGGGGATCCGCCAGCCGCCAACCATCAGGAAGCTCTTCCCCTCTACCTATTCTGGCTTGCCAGGCGTGTCTTCCATTCCTCAAAGTGGGGTTGTGTTTGGTGTTCACAAGGCCTGGGGATTTTACTGGGTGCTGAATGGGCACAAAGAGTTTGAGGAAAGTGCCAGAGCCCTTGGAAAGGAGCCCCGGTACTCTGACTTAGAGTGCCCTTCTGCACTCGGGTGGGTGGCGGGTTGCTTGGGTTTGGCACCAGCTCTGCTACAATCTCCTCTGCCATCTTGCGCCTCCCACTCCCTCCAATATTTTGTTTTGAAATGTTCAAACCTGCAGAAGAACTGAGAGAGGAGGGCCCTGAACCTGCCCTCCCTCGATCGTCCTGCTCTTAACACTTGGCCATAGTTGCTACGTCTCCCTCTGTGTGTCTCTGTGCACTTGCAAGCACTTTTATTTTGCTGAAGTTTGTGAGCAAGTTGCTGGCACCTTAACACTTCTAAATATCTCAGCATCTCCTAATAAGGACTTTCGCCCTCACAACCACAGCACCATGGGCACCATCAGCGCGGCAGCCAGCGCGCCATTTGTGCTCAGTACTACAGTTCTCCCCCGTTGTCTTCTACAGCTAGATTTTTTTCTCTCTCCAGATTCCGATCAGGATTCATGTGTGGTATTTTGTTGTTATGCCTTTAATCTCCTCTAAGACAGCCTCTGGCCTTTTTGTTCACGGTATTAGTATTTGTCTGTGTTGGTGACATTTACACTTTTGAAGAGCTCAGGTCAGCTGTCTGGTAGAATGTCCTGCATGTAGCATATTCTGCTTGTTAATGCATGATTTGTGCTTAATATTCAACACCACATCAGCAGCGAAAGTTGGGCATGCGTTGTCCATTTCCTCAATTTGTGAGGGTTGATTTGTGGATTCCTCACGCAGGCAGAGATCAACTGAATATCCCGTTTACCCCGCCATTGGACCTTTCGTCAGTGTTTGCCTAAAGATCGGAACCGTGGTGGTTGCAACATGGTGATTTTATATTCTTTTATTCCTCCTGCATCTGCCACGTGGCATTTTTTTCCTCTAAGATTTTCCATTTTGTGGATTAATCATTGTGGATTTATGGGTTTTAAAAAGGTGTTAAAATCAAATAGTACTGTTACTATACTGATGTTCAAATTGTCCTACCTTTGAGAATTAAGAGCCCTTAGGTTGGCTTCTGAATCTCTTTGCCACAGTCACCTTGATATTTAAAAAGAATTTTGTTGTTTTTGTTTTTTTGAGTCAGGGTCTCAAGCTGCAATTCATGCTGGCCTCGAACTCACAGCAATCCTCCTGCCTCAACCTCCTGAGTTCTGGGATTATAGGTGTGAGTCACCATGCCTACCTCATCTTGATGTTTAAGTCCTTTTTTTTTGCTTTGTGATGTGACAAGATATTCCAAGCTCACACTGTACATTTCCAGCCCTGGACCCAGAACCAACCACTCCACGAGGGGTCACCTCAGGGCTCTGATTCCTTTAGTGGCCAGTGGCACAGGGACAGCGGGAGCTTAGGGTTATCTGTACTCAGCGTCACCAGAGCGCTATAGGCCCTGAGCTCTTTAGTGGACAGAACTAAGAAATCCATTTTGAAAAAATCACAAGTTTAAACTGATAGTTCCAACTCAAACTTAACATTACAGGGTTTTTCTGTAGTAACTTTTACTTATTACAGGTATCTTTTTTTCTCTTCCAGTAAAAAAATGCCTTTGCTTATTTGCTTTATACTAATTGTATCATGCATAAGAGTTTCAGAATTACAAGATCAACATTGCTACTAACAGTAAATTTACTAAGTATGAGGGTTTTTTTGTAGTTCTTTAGTTCTCAGAACTTTTCCCACTGTGTTCGGAGGACAGTATTTGAAGCAATCCTTCCTTCCATGATGTTTATGAAATCAGTTGGCTACAATATCAGCGCATTTGCTTCCATTTTCACTCTGTTGTGGGTTTTGCTTTCTCCTATCCTTTACACATTTTAGTTTTTGAATATGTAAACCTTTGCGAGGTTCGGAAGTTGCAATGATGCACAGAGCTGTAGGAGAGAAGCCTCGTGCCATGCCTGTCGCTTCCCGTTTTCACAGTGAACTCCTTCCATTAGTTTCTGTTATAGTTTCTGTATTTTTGTCACAAAAAGTGCACCCATGCATTCTGATTTTCTCTCATTTCTGTATAAACCACGGTAAAGCACACGTGTCCTCCTTTGACGAAGGCCCCTCCCTGGTGCTGACTTCCATCCCTTCCTATGTCAGAAGCTTCTGCCTTCTCACAAAACCATCTGCCACGGAGTTTTGCCTGCTCTGTGGCTGTGGAGTCCTTGGGAGACTGGGACACCATGATGGGGTGCGGGGAACACTCGGGCCCCTCGGGAACCCGACACCCTCCAGATGTTGAGACTGAGAAGACAAAGGGTCCAGCTTCCGGGAGTTCGTACCGGGCTAAGCCCTCCTGCTGGGACTCTCTTGGGTGTCTTGGGAGTTGGGTGGCTTTGGCGCGGGTTTCTGGAGGGGCCCTGACACAGGGGCAGTAGGAACACTGCCAGGAGCGGGTCTGTTCTGTGCCTCACACTTGCCGTAGTCCAAGTACAGTACAGTCAGTAACACCTCGGTAGGAGAACGCTCCTTTTTGCCAACAATTTGGTTCGCAAACAGAAGCGGTCAGCAAAATCTTGCTTCCATTCGTGAACTCCGCTTTGGGAGACATTGAACCTTATAGGGAAATTTGATTTGGTTCTCAACCAATTCAGCTCATGACCAAATTGGTGAAACCAACTAAGTTTGTGAACTGAGGTACCACTGTATCTATTTTTCAAAATTAACCATTTCATGGGCTGGGGGTGTAGCTGTGACACTATGCCTGCCTGGTAAGCAGAAGGCCCTGAATTTGATCCCTGGTACAAAAACAAAAAAACCAAAGAAAACCTTTTTTTGTTTTTGTTTTTGTTTTTGGGTTTTTTTGGTACCAGGCATTGAACTCAGGACCTTGTGCTTATAAGGTAGGCACAGTGCCACTGAGCTAAATCCCTGGCCCCTTAACCATTTCTTTTTTGAGACAAGGTCTCCTCAAGTAGTCCAGGCTGGCCTTGAACTAGCAGCGATCCCTCTGCCTCAGCCTCCTGAGTGCTGGGATTACAGGTGTGCACCACAGTGCCTGGCAAAATTCACCATGTTAATGTATATTCAGCAGCTTTTATACATTCAGCACGTTGTGCCTAGATCACATGTCTGTCACCCCCAAGGGAAACATTACCCTCACTGAGCAGCCCCCCTCAACCCCTGGCCACCACGAATCTACTTTCCATCTCCACAGATTCGCCTGTTTTGGTGTTTCACACATGCACACGGAATCACACCATCGTGTCCTTTTGTGCCCGGTTTCTCTCACTCGGCGTGGTGCTCTAAGCTTCACCCACACGGCCGCTCGTTCTGTCGGGCCCTCCTTGCTGTGACTCCGCACCCCATCCGCTGGCAGCTTCCATAGTTCAGTCTGGTCTTGCTGCGAACAGTGCTGCTCAAACATTCCTAGACAAGTTTCCTAGACAAGTTTTAGTTGGAATGCCAGTTTTCTGTTCTTTTGGGTAAATATCTAGGGATGGGATTGCTGGCAACTCTGCTGAACTTTTGGGCAAAGTGCCAATGTGTCTACATCCACTGCACCTTTTTACATTCCCACCAGCGGAGTATGAGGGTTGCATTTTCTCCACCTGCTCAGCAAAATTTGTCATGTTTTTCTTTTTTTATTATAGCTGTCCTATTGGGTATGAAGTGGGCAACATACCCTACCCCTTTCTTTTCTTTGTTGCAGGATCTTGCTGTGTAGTCCAGGTTGGCCTTGAACTTGTGATCCTCCTGCCTTAGCCTCCTGAGGGCTGGAATTACAGGCAGGTACTACTTTGCCCTGCAAAATATCCCCTTTTTGACATAAACTTGAAATGTCACATTAAAAGCTCTAATGTCCTTTGGCTTCCTGATGCTACCTAACTTTTTCAATTTCTTGTAAATAAAATTAGTCTTTGTTATTATTATATTGACTTGGTGATTCCAGGGCTCACGGTTATAGGAGGGAAATTCTGTTACACACTAAGCAAGGCATTAGCTGAATGTTAGCAAATCCCACTTCATATAGCACCGGCCAGAGGTGGTAGTGTTAAGGGTGGTGGGGGAGGTGTGAAGTGATCCATAGGACAGGTGACCTTTAGGGCTCTTTTTAACAACTATGTGCTCAAGATAGCCTGGCCCCAGGGGCTGGGACTGCAGGCCTCCTGAGGAAACCACATGAATGAGAGTGCAGCCCTTCTCACGATCAGGCCCCCGGGGGAACTGTCAGCCAGGCCTCTTGTGTTGTTCAGGGCTCCCAATGCTAGTGAGCCCAGGCCCTGGGCCGGGGCACCCCCGTGAGTCACAGCTGAGACCAGTGAGGGTGAGAATTACCACTTCCTGTATATGAAAAACTCAGATGAATTGTTGGCTCCCACCACTGCCAAGCAGCAAATCAAATTAATTCTCCATGCCTCGGGCTTAAGTCCACCCACTGAGTGAACTCCTGAAAAAAACGAAAGGCACTGCCCAAGGAGCTTGCAAGGGGAGGTCTGGGTGGCTTCTCTTGCATTGATTAGTGATTTCAATTTTGAGAGTTTTCAGAGTTGCCAGCCAAGCAGATTGTGGTAGCCAGCATTGTGTCACTGTGATTAAATACCTAAGAAACTAAGCTTAAAGGAGACATAGGATTTATCTTGGCTTACGGTTTCTGAGGCTAAGGTCCATGGTTAGCCCAGCCCTTGGAGACTCATGGTTAGATGGGTGCTTTACCAGGAAGCAAAAGAGAGAGGAAGGGCCCGGGGTCCCATGCCCTCCTCCAGGCCCTGCCCCTGTGACGTAACTTCCTTTCACTAGGCTCCACCCACATCCTAGTGTTTCTGCTACCTTCCAACAGCGCCACTGGCTGGTGACCAAGCTTTTAACATATGAGACTTTGGGGGAGCTCCACAGTGTAACACAGATGTTAATTTACATTAAGCAATGAGCCTGGGTCTTAGCCGAGTGCTAGGTTGTGAGGGGTGTCCCCAGAGTCCATGTGTTGGAGACTTAATTCCCAATGCTACTGTGTTGGAAGGTGCAGCCTGGTAAGTGAGGAAGTGCTGAGTGATGCAGTCTATTCAGGTCATCCTAGGGTGGGTTCATTATGCGAGTGAGTTCTGCCCTCTCTTGCTCTTTGGCTCTTACCCTCCCCTCTCTCCCACCTTCTATGGGGCTGACACAGCAGGAAGCCCTGGCCCCGGGCTGGTGGCTTGGATTTCTGCAGCCTTCACAATAGCGAGCCAAACACATCTCAGTTCATTATAGAGACTACCTTGTTGACATAAATTGGACTAAAAGCCCAGAAAGATGCCAGAAAAACTTGGCAGGATAGCCAGGCATGGTGGCACAGGCTTAAAACCCCAGCAGTTGGAAGGTTGAGGCAGGATTGCAAGTTTGAGTCTTGCCTGGGGAACTTAAGGAGACCCTATCTCAAAATAAAAAATTTTATTTTAGCTCATTAGGAAGGCCTTGGGCTCAATCCTCAGTAGTAGAGTAAGAAATTCCACAGGGTTTGTGGTGGATTAGGAAAGGTGAGTGCAGGGCACTTGCCCTAAGCCTAACTTAAGGTTGGATGGGATTGAGGTGGAAGAGGAGTAGGGAGCTAGATTGGGCGAAAGGAGGAAGCTGGGATGCTGCGATGCTGGCCTCCCGCTGACAGCTGAGCTCAGGAACCGAGCATTGGGCGAGGTGGGTTATCCAGGCATAGCATGGACTTCTGAGGTGAAACCATAAATCCAAAAATTACTGAGGTAGTTTTGCTTTTAAACATTTAGTGGCCAGATTTAAAAAGTTCTGGAAGAGAATTACTACTTGGCAGAGTTAATCATGAGTATCTTCCGCTGACTATAAGACACTTTCAACTGAGCTCAGTGGAGAAGCAGGAAATCCTGGGGAGACCTGGGGTATCCTCTTTACCACTGGGGTTCATTGTAGTGTTTAAAAGCATTCACTTTCACCCCAGTAGTGTCCCAGCTTGGACAATATATGGTCACTGTCTTTATCATAGAGATTAAAATTATTTATTTTTTTAATTGTAAAATATACATCACAAAGTTTACCATTTTGACCATTTTAAGTGTACACTTCTGTGTTCATTACTAGTTCATAGGAAAACAATGGACTTTTGAATATCTACTCAGTGGCCTGAAACCTTGTCATGAGTATTTATTAGTTCTAGAGGCTTCTTTGCTGGTTCTTTAGGGTTTTCTACATAAATTACTGTGCCATCTACAAAGATGATTTTATTTCTTACTTCCTTATCTGGGTACCTTTTATTCCTTTTCTTATTGTATTAGCAAAGTGTTCTAGTATGATGGTGAATAAAAATGGTGAAAAAGGACACCCTTGTTTTGTTCCTTTTTATTTTATTTTAGTTTTTGGTACCGGGGATTGAAATTCAGGTCCTTACACTTGCAGGGCAGGTGGCAGAACCACTGAGCTAAATCCCCAACCCTCTTGTTTCTTATTTTAGGGAAAAGTATGTATCTAGGTTTTCACCATTAAGTCTGATGCCAACTGACGTGTTTTTTTTTTTTTTAGATTTTCTTCATCAGGTTAAAGATATTCCTAGTTTGTTTTTTATCATGACTGAATGTTGGATTTTGTCTACTGCTTTCTCTGCATCTATTGATATGGTTATATAACTTTTCTGTTTTAGCCTGTTGGTATGATGAGTTACATAAATTGATTTTCTAATGTTGAACTAGACTTGCATACCTGTAATAAATCCTAATGTTGGACAAATCCAACATTGCTGGATTGTATTTGCTACTATATTGTCTTAGTTACTTTTCTTGTTGCTGAGACAAAATACTTGAGACCCAAGGTTAGAGTGGAAAGATTTATTTTGGCTCACAGTTTGTAGAGGTTTCAGTCCCTAATCAGCTGACTACAAGGCAGAGGGGCATCACAGAGGAGAAACAGTCCATGGCAGGGAAGAAGGCAGCAAAAGGAGCAAGCAGCAAGTGACAAGCAGTAATAACAACAGTCTTCTTTCTGTCCCTTATATTCTATCAAGGCTACCAGCCCTTAAGGTAAGTAGCACTCACACCCAGGGTGGGGCAGCCTTAATCCTAGCATCCTAGCAAGAATCAATCCTAGCATCACATCCTTGATCCCAGCATCACACACACTAGACCCAGCTACCTCTGAAAAACCCTGCGTATGACCACATGAGGCCCCACCTAGGGCCACATGGGACATCTAGAAGCTAGCCATAACACATTCTTCAGGATTTTTGCTTTTGAAATGTATGAATTTTTTTTTTTTTTTGGTACTGGGGATTGAACTCGGGTCCTTGCGCTTGCAAGGCAGGCGGCAGAACCACTGAGCTAAATCCCCGGCCAATTTTTGCTTTTTACATTTCTGAGAGTTTGTAGTTTTTTATTTCTTGTAATGTCTTTTTCTGGTTTGGTTGTAGGGTAATACTGGCCTTATAGAATAATTTAGGAAGGGTTTCCTCTACTTCTTCTTCTGGAAATGAATTTAGAGAATTGATATCATTTTCCTTAAATATTTGGTGAAATTTACCAGCGAAATCATCTGAAATCAATGTTTCTTTCTGAAAAGTTATTTAATTATTGATTCAATATTATTTATAGATACAGGTATTCAGTTTATCAATTTCTCCTTGTTTAGGTTTTGGTAGATTGTATTACTCAAAGATTTTGTCCATTTCATCTAAGTTATCAAATCTGTAGGCAGAGTTTTAAAAAATTTTTTATTTTATTTTATTTATCTATTTTTTCCAGTACTGGGGATCAAACTCAGGACCATGTGCTTGCAAGGCAGGTGCTGCACCACTGAGCTATGTACCCAGCCCTAAAATTTTGTATTTTCTCTTTAGTGACTACCCTTCTACTTTTAAAAATATTTATGTTAGTAATTTGTATCTTCTCTTTTTGATTAGCTAGAGTACACGTTTATCAATTTTATCTTTTCAAGGAACTGTCTTTTGATTTTAATTTTCTGTATTGATTTTCTATTTTGAATTTCATTAATCCTTTTGTTTTAATGTTAACCTCTTTTCTTTTGCTTGGTTTGGGTTAATATTGCTTCTTTTTTCCATAGTTACTTCGGGTGGAAAGTTAGATTGATTTTTAGATCTTTCTTTTTTTTTTCTTCCAGTGTGTGCATTCAATCCTGAAATTTCCCTCTAAGTATTGCTTTTGCTCCATTCTGCAAATTTTTTTCCCTGTACCGGGGATCAAATTCAGGACCTTGCACTTGTCAGATGGGCGCGCCACCACTGAGCCACACCCCTGGCTCTCTATTCTGCAAAGTTTGATAAGTTGCACCTCTCTCACCCATTCTCTCTTTCTCTGTCTCTCTATTTCTCTCTATCTCTGTCTCTCTCTCTTCTCTGAGGCAGGGTCCTGCTGCATTCCCTAGGCTGACCTCAGACTCCTGGGCTCAACTGATTCTGCTGCCTCAGCCTTCAGAGTAGCTGGGACTATAGGCCTTACCCGCTTTCCTGGCTTAATAAATTGAATTTTCATTTTTGTTTAGTTCAAAGTACTTTAAAACATTTTTAGAGATTTTTCCCCCCAGGTTTTATTTAGAAGTGTGTTGTTAAATCTCCAAATATTGTGGGATTTTGCAGCTGTCTTTCTGTTATTAATTTCTGTTAATAATTTCACTGTGGTCTGAGAACATGCTCTGATTTCTGTACTTCTAAATTCATTTAGGTTTCCTGTATGACTCGCAGTGTGATCTGTTTTGGTGACTGTTCCATGTAAGCTTGAGAAGGATGCATTCTGCTGCTTTTAGATGAAAAATTCTATAAATGTCTATTGTATTGATTATGTGGCGCTGCTCAGCTCAATTTTCCTTTCCAACTTCCTGCTGCTGGGTCTGCCAGCCCCTGATGGAGGGCATTAATGCCTCCCAGTTGTGGGTTTATCCATTTCTCCTTGCAGTTCTATTAGTTTTTCCTTCATATTTTGACACTATTAGGTGCACACACATTAGGTTTTTAGGTTTTCTTGGAGAATAGACCCCTTGCTCATGATGCAGTGTCTCTCCTTATTCTTGATCATTTTTCTTGTTCTGATGTCTGCTTTATCTGAAATTAATGTGTCCATCCCAGCTTTTCTTTGATTGGTTTGAATGCACATGCATCTCTTTAATTTCCTCCAATCCTTTAAAACAGAAAATATCTTTATTGTGGTAAAATACCAATAATGTAACTGTGTTCAGGTGCTCGGCTACTCAGCATTCAGAGTGGGCGGCCAGCAGCACCTGGATTCGTGTTGGAATTTCTCAGAACTCTTCTCGCCTTGCAAGATGGAAATGCCATGCCTGCTAAACAAAATTCCTGCACATTCTCTCGCTCCTAGCCCCTGGCAACCACCATCCCACTTTCTGTTCTAGGACTCTGACTGCTCTCGGTGTCCCTTGGAAGTGACTCCCACGTCAAGTGTCCTTCAGCTCATTTACTTGGCGTGACGTCTTCAGGGTTCATCTAGGTGGTAGCAGGTAACACAGTTGCCTTCCTGTTAAAGATTTTCTTCCCTTTATTGTTTAATCTATCTGTACCTTTATGTTAAAGTGGGTTCTTATAAACAACATATTTTTTATCCACTGTTTTCTTTTTAATTGTCCTGTTTTGACCATTTACAGTAATTCTTGGGCTGGGGATTTAGCTCAGTGGTTCCACCGCCTGCCTCACAAGTGGCAAGTGCAAGGTCCCGAGTTCGATCCCTGGGGCACCCCCCCCCCAAAGAAATTCTTGACAAAGTTGCATTCATAGCTACCCCATTTGCCACTGTTTTCTATTTATTGCACTTGTTCTTTGCTT